TTGGCTTTGTCGTCTGGCGTGACAACCAGATTCCCCGTCTTGTCCTGCAAGGGCCCCACATTTCCTGGGGCCTTCTTTCTTCTCCCTATGTACTTAAAAAAGGACTTCTTGTTGTCCTTAATCCGGGAAGCCAGTCCCTGTTCCATCTCTGCCTTGGCCTTCCTAACCATCCCCCTACATCCCCGAGCAACTGCAGAATAGTCCTCCTTAGTGATGACCCCTCCTTTCCATTGGGAGTAAGCCTCCTTTTTGGCAAGGAGACATTGACCTCAGTTGAACAACCCACAAGCAACGTGAGCTATAAATGGGTTGATGTCAGACCGGCAGAAGGCCTCAAAAGGGTTCCCTTGTGAATCTGCTCTGGATCTGCTGTTTAATATGTTTTATTAATGACTTGGATGCGGAAAGAGGGAGTCCTCTGATCCATCCCACAGACGACATGGATCTGAGAGGAGCTGCAAAATACTTTGGAGGGCAGGATTCACATCCGAAGGGGGCTTGATTAGGGGCCGTGGACAACAGGACAGAACTCATCCAAGACTAAACACAGGGTGCTACACAGAGAGGACAAAAACAAGCCCTAGATGCACAAATAAAGAACAGGAGATAGATAACTGGCTGGGCAGGAGCACTGCTGAGAAGACCGAGGGGAAAGGCAAGCTCAGCGCCTGCCAGCAGAGATGATGTTGCAGTAAAGGAAATGCAATGCTGCGCTGCACTGATGCAGAGAGCACAAGACATGGGAGGTGGCCAGTCAGCACTGGTTAGGTCTCAGCTGGAGCACCGCGTCCAGTTCTGGGACCACGTACGTACGATGTAGCATATCGTGCGCCCAGTGTAGCATGTAGATATACTGCAAGTTGTAGGATGTGGTGACAGAGGCAGACCAAGAGGTAACAAGGCTGACAAAGGTCAGGAGCTCCAATTAGACAAGAAAGGCCTCTAGGATCCAGTATGTTCAGTCTGCAAAGAAGTTAAAGGAGAGAGGGGCTTGCTGCAGGAGGATGGGGGGTTAAACTGCAGATGTAAAGCAGATCTCCGGCGACTCTCCCTCCCTGTCAAGAGCTGTAGGACTGCAGAATGAGCTGCCCAAGGACGCTGTCAAACCTCCTTTGCTGGAGATCTCCAAGCAAAGCCTGGACAGAACAGACGTGGCTGGGATGAGTCAGGAACAGCCCATCCTGCATCCATGCAAGGGCTGGACTAGATCGGGGGCGGCCAACCTGCGGCCTAGACACCACAAGCGACACAGGTGGCCCCTGCGAGTGGCACATGGTGGATCGGAAGCATAGCAGGGAGCAGAAAGCAGAGCAGCATATCAGGCAGGCAGGCTGGGAGAAGACAAAGAAGCCATCAGGCAGGGGACAGGAACTGGAGTGAAAGGGACAGGGCTGATTTGTGCCAAAAGGTTGGCAGCCCTGACTGGAGTAGACGATCCCTGGGGATCGTCAGCCTCCCAGGACCCAGCCCTTTCATATGGCAGAGTGCTGCTCTGTCGTGAGAGCAGAGATTTGGGCAGACCCACCTCTAACCCCAAGCCCCATGAGACAAAAGGCTGCAAAACATCCCTCCCCACGGCACTCACCAGTGGTGATGGGTGGTCAGAATGGCCTTCAGGGCTACACCTTCCTTCCTGATGATTTCCAGCAACTAAAATGAGAAATAAAGTTATTCAAGAACAGAGGAAAGTCAGACCCCCATGATCCATCCTTGCAGAGCCTGAACCACATCTGCTCTGTGCAGCACTAGCATCACTGTGCCTATCCCATGCACCAACTCTCAGAGACTCTGGATCATAGGTGATGGGTTCGTGCTAACAGTGCCAGGCTGCAAAAGAGCATACCCACCCCCTGGTATGTAAAGGACTAAGCATATCTATAAAGGGCCACCATTGCCGGAATCGAGGGGCAGGCTTTCACAGCAGCTTCGGCTGGGAAATGCATCATAGTTTATCAGTCCAAAGGTGAATCAGTACACGGGTGGTGCTGATACTGCAAGAAAACATAGCAATGGACATGTGCTTTGCCCTTGAACCGGACCACAGAGCACACCCTCCGGCTCGACTTCACCCTGCCCTGGGCGCAGCCTCGGGAACATCACAGAAAACAACTCGCTCCAAGCGGGAGGTTGCACAAACTCTCGCGAGCCGCCTCGCTGCAAGATGCAATCCGTGTTAACGGACACATCGGACCCGGGGAACACGCAGTCTTTGCTAGTGCATGGCTCTGCAGGTGCAGCTCCAAACAGGCACCCCGTTTTAACTCTTCCCAGCGCAGACGAGAACAGAGACAGCAGGGCAGATGTGCACCTTACAGACCGACTTAATTACAGATCGATACAGTTAATTTAGTATAGTCTCGTTTAGTCTGCAGGGGGTAAATCTATCCTGCCTTCGGGCTAACATGGCGAACTACCTCTTGGTCACAGAGACTCTGTTGTTTCAAGTGACCAGTTCCACGTCCCCTTTTGCAATTGCATTTTATGGTCCACTTCTAGACATCTGCAAACCCCTCCCGTGCCACTGAATGCTTCTCCAAGGTGGGCAAGTCCAGCGGGGGTGGGAGAAGGGGCACTTTTTAAAGCCAATGCAATGTTCCCTGTCAATACCAAATCCTCCAGGCTGTCCCTGATCAGACTTCAGGTTTATAAAATTGGTAAGATCTTTCTGAGCCAGCATCGGTCGCTGCCACGATGTGCCAGTTTGCCTCGACACAGGCAGCACTTGCTGTGGAGAAAGGGGCAGGCTGCGTGGGGCTATAATGGGAGCCCAGTGCCCACACTGAACTTCCCATTAGGTGCAATTCACTGCAAGCACGGAGCAGGCCTCACAGATCGGCATCACTGCTCCAAAGCCACTGGCAAGTCGTTAAGGGAAGGAGGCAGCTGGGAAAGCCCAGGTCACAGGTGCCGACGAAGCCAGGGGGGCTTCAGATGATGGACACATGGAAAGTTTTACACATTGCAGGCGGCAGCGCTCTTCCCGGCAGGGGCCACGGCCCTCGAGCCCCCACGTACTCGGCCCCTCTGTGCCAGGTCAGCAAAGCAGGCGGCCCAGCATCCCGGAGGATGCAGCTACCCTGGCTCGGATGCATTTCACCGTCCCAGCCGTTCTCCACCTTGCTAGACCCGAGACACCCGGGTAGACTCGAGGCCCCCCTCAGAAAACGCCATCTCTTAGTTTCCGCTCTTTTTCTCGCCAACAGGAAAACAACAGAGTGGCTGCTCCTGTTGCAAAGAGCTCAGGAGGACCAGGACTACCGACGTCTACGTGGCACCTCCGGGAATCGCGTCTGGACACGTAGCGGCGCTGACACTGCGTGGCACCCTTGAAAGGGTCTCCGGGCTGACATGGGCCCCGGTTGAGAACCGCTGCGCTACCCACTCGCCCTGCTTCAGTGCTAACGCGGGACCCTCCGGCCTGGTTTCCCAGCACCCCCAGGGAAGAGAACTGACCCCACGCACCGTTTTCTGCTCAGGGTTGAAAACCAGGTTTGTTTGCTCTATGAGAGGACTATAAAAAGGCTGCCCCAAAACCTAACCCTGAGCCATGAACCCTCAACAACGGTATCTTTAGCAACAGGCAACTGGAAACACACCCGGTTCCTGACTAGATCTGTACCCCCCACCCAGGGGCCGACTATAAATGGGCCCGCCGGCTCTGGATTCGAACTGGAAGCCCTATAAAATCCTGATTCAAAGCAATGGGTCCAAAAGCAGCGGGAGGCCAAGTCACCCTCTTGGGAGCGGCAGCGTCCACGGCGACCGCCTCCTTGGTGCTTTCCTCAATGACCAGGTACATGTAGTTATCTTCCAAGATCGAGATCACCTTGACCTTCATGGTGCGCGGAGGGCGCACGGGCTGCAAGGGAAAACCAACGCCGTCAGGCCAGGCTGCCG